TTAACAATTTAATAAAGAATAACCAACTCCATAACGAATGGATACTTTATAACCCTATTGGAAATAACACAACAATACAATTAACACCACAATTGCGAGATTGTATGAGCGAAATAATCTTTAATATAACAACATACGATGAAACAATTGGAGCTTTACAAATAATAGAAACACAAGATCACGACTCAGAAAACGAAGAAAAAGTACAAATAACCAAAAGATCAGTTAAAGAATTTGAAAGGACAGACTTTACAATACTAGTACAAAATTTTTCATAAATGATACAGGTACACCTAACACCTCATTACTAAAAGGATTAATTCCTGAGAATATCCAGACCATCACTTCAATTTACAACAAAATATTTATTAAAATCTTACACAAGATATCAACTAACATATATAAACAAATATGACTTGAATGCTGTAAAGGTATACATCAGAATAGACCTATCACTGATACAATTACTGCTATAACTCTGACCTATCATTCTACACAGCACATTAGTACAACTAAATATAACAAATAGGAATCTTTGTTCTCTACAACTAACATATCTTTATCTTATATAGCTAAACTAAATCTAGTAGAGGCCAGGTAGTCCACTCTAGTAGAGCTTTGGACTGAGAATAAATTAGTTCTAGCTGTAAGTTTCTGTAATAATTCATGTAACTCATTTAAATAATGTAACATATAATTATTCAATAAAGACCAAAACCAGACCTCACTCTTAAAAAAAAAATAAAAATAAAACAAATTTAATATGTATTTTAGTTTCATGATAAAAAACTTTTAAATAGACCGGACAAGCCAGGTTTTTTTTTAAAAAAAATCTATATATAAAATTTTATAAAAAAAACATTTTGACACTGCCATTTATGAAAGCCAATTATTAATATTGTATAGCCTTAATTGAAAATTAGTTTCTTAGTATTTTTTGTCAATATCATGATATTCATTTATTTACTTATATCAATTAAAAATTGTCATTACAATTTTTATTGATCTATTGTCATATCACATTTAATAAGCTATCATTAAAAATTTAAGTCCGATTGTTCGTTTGAAATTTCAACCTGACAGGCATAAATAGCACACCCGGTAGTATCTTGTAATTTGACTGGACATGACTTTTACAAGGTTATTTTGCCAAACTAAAGTGAAAATAATGACAAGGCACCATTAAAAATAGTTAAAAGTAGTATTAGATAAAGCTCTACATAAGTAGTATGTTTAGTATTAATATTACTGAGGTGACATAGTGATTTATATAAGTGTTCTAGCAAAAACAATTTTGATCAAAAATTTGCAGGCAAATTTGCCTGCAAAATGGTTTAAGGGATAATAAAATATTTAATGTGACTAGGCTGGTTGCACTATATATATATTATAAATTATTATATAAAAATAAAAATTACAATATGAAGTATTAAAATTTATCAATTATGATAATGTTAAGAGCTTTGATAATAAATAAAAAAATGATTCAAAAATTATATATACAAAATTTATAAACCACTTTTTGCCACAAACAAAAATTCTATTATACAAAAATATCCCATTTTAATTGTGTTATTGCATTGACAATCGAATTATTACTAATAATCTACATTATTAGATTAGAAAAGAAATTTAGTATGCGTATAGGCACAAAAATCGTACGCTATAAATTAATTTATATTACAACTTAATATAGCAATTTAATTTATAAATAACTGATTAAAGATGCTTAATCATAGAAATTTCACTTTATAAATTAAAGTGTATACTCACATCCTAATAATTTGATTTACATGATTTAGAGAATTTTTAATTTTAAAACGGTTTAATTTATAAATTAATTTTATTATACTCACGCCCTAATAATTTACTGTAGTATTTATAATTTAGTGAAGTTTGTTTATTTTAAAAGTTTTTAATTTATAAATCAATTTTATACTCACGCACTAATAATTTAATTTATAGATAATTAGTTATGTTTTTTAATTGTTTTTAATTTATAAATTAAAATTACTTTTATACTCACAACCTAATAATTTAATTCATATACAAATTATTAGTAAAGTTTTGTTTAATTTTAAAGTTTCTAATTTATAAATTAATTTTATACTCACGTACTAATAATTTAATTTATATATAATTTATTAATTAAGTTTTGTTAATTTTAAAAGTTTTTAATTTATAAATTAATTTTATACTCACTCGCTAATAATTTAATTTATATTTATATATAAAATTTATTAGTAAAATTTATTTAATTTTAAAGTTTTAATTTATAAATTAATTTATACTCACATCCTAATAATTTAATTTATAAAACTTTATTAATGAAGTTTTGTTTAATTTTTAAATCTTTATAAATTAATTTTATACTCACGCCCTAATAATTTAATTTATAAAAAATTTATTAGTGGAATTATGTTTAATTTTAAAGTTTCTAATTTATGAAATAATTTTAAAGTTTCTAATTTATGAAATAATTTTATACTCACGATCTAATGATTTATTTTATAATTTATTAGTGAAGTTTTGTTTAATTTTAGAGTTTAATTTATAAATTAATTTTATACTCACTCGCTAATAATTTAATTTATAAAAAAATTTATTAGTGAAGTTTTGTTTAATTTTAAAGTTTCTAATTTATAAATTAATTTTATACTCACTTCCTAACAATTTAATTTATATATAAATTATTAGTGAAATTTTGTTTAATTTTAAAGTTTCTAATTTATAAATTAATTTTATACTCACGCACTAATAATTTCATTTATACATAATTTATTAGTGGAGTTCTGTAATTTTAAAGCTTTTAATGTATAAATTAATTTTATACTCACGCCCTAATAATTTTATTTATATATAAATCATTAGTGAAGTTTTGTTTAAGTTTAAGTTTTTAAGTTATAAATTAATTTTATACTCACGACCTAGTAATTAAACTTATATATAATTTATTAGTTAAGTTTCGTTTATTTAATTTTGAAGATCAATTTTATACTTACAGCCTAATAATTTAATTCATATATAATTTATTAATGGAATTTCGTATAATTTTAAAGTTTCTAATCTATAAATTAATTTCATACTCACGGACTAATAATTTAATTCATATATAATTTATTAGTGAAGTTTTGTTTAATTTTAAAGTTTTAATTGGTAAATTAATTTTATACTCACGATCTAATAATTTAATTTATATACAATTTATTAGTGAAATTTGGTTAATTTGAAGTTTTTAATTTATAAATTAATTTTATACTCACGGTCTAATTATTTAATTTATGGATAATTTATTAGTGAAGTTTTATTTAATTTAAAGTTTTTAATTTAATTTATTAGTGAAGTTTTGTTTAATTTTAAAGTAAATTAATTTTATACTCACGCCCTAATAATTAAATTTATATATAATTTATTAGTGAAGTTTTGTTTACTTTTAAAGTTTTTAATTTTATAAATTAATTTTATACCCACTCGCTATAATTAATTGTTAAAGTTTCATTTAATTGTGGATTTTAATTAATGTAGTTCATGTATAATTAAATATTTTATTTATCAAATAACATGAAACTATACTTTTTCTGAACGCTTAGTAGGCATTGTAAGGGCAGGGTCGATGGTAACGATAAAAGCCAAAGCGGCAATAATAAATTTTAAATAAAATTTTGACAACATTTTGACGACCGTTTTTTTCACAACACGGAATGCGGAATGGGGGAGAGAAAAAATATTGCCAATTTATAATTTCCTAGATATGGTTGAAATTGTAATTTATTTACATGATTAATATGGCTATGAAATTTGCCGTATTATCTGTCTTAAAAGCCATAAACTGTATTTCAATATTAACTGAATAATTTATTGCTGTAATAAATTGTCTCTCAATCTGTAAATGAAAGATTAAGGCTCATTGAAAGAGCGCAGTAAATATTAGAAGAACGCAATGAAATTATTAGAACGTCACAATAAAAGATTAGGAAGAGGCCAAATGGAAGCATCGGTAAAAATATTAAGAGGTGGGGCGCAATGAAAGATTTTGAAGTGACGAAATGAAAACATTGGTAAAAGCGCAATGAAAATATTAGGAAGAGGCGCAATAAAAATATTGGAAAAAGTGCATGAGAGATTGGGCGCAATAAAATATGCGAAATTAAACATTGGT